AGATCACCAAAACCCTCATCTCTCACAGCGCTGACTACGTCTGTATGGCCTCAAACAAGCATGGAGAGGTAACCGTTTATCTGTTAGGCCACACCAATTTAATTTGTTGGTTCTCGGATTTTTTCAGAAAAATATGAAGCGACAGGGCGAAAAAAATAAAATAAAAACAGGTCTAGGCATCCTATTATAGCCCCAAATGCTGCAATATGAGCCATGAAGTCAACAAAAAGGCTGGGGTAAAATTTAAAGTATAAAGTTTGAACTTTTAATCAAACCACTGCATTGATAGATGGAAAAACTGTAACAACTAGGAAGAAAAGGAATTTCCTCAACTGTTGGGGGCAAAATATGAGCATTTTTTAGTTGTTTCAGAACCAGAATCTTTTTTTTTTTTTGCAAATCAGAAAAAAATGAGGCGAATCCGAGAACCAACAAATTAAATTGGTGTGGCCTAAACGACTAATAATTTTATATGATGAAAGTATGAAATGATGACGAAAATATGATAAGAAATGGCAGTAAATGTCAATATCAGATATCCTTATCCAGAATATTTTTTTGTTTTTGTTTTGCTGCCCTGAAATAGCATGAGTATCGCTTTTATTTTGTGTATGCTGTGCGCCTATAGCCTGGGTGCCATCCCCGAATACTACTGGGGATGGCACCCAGGGTAGTGCGCCTATAGGATTTGCTTTGATATAAAGTACGATCCACGGGGACTAATGATTAGGCTTTATGGCTGTACAGCGCGATTACGGAATTACCATATGCCTGATAGACACTTGTACTACCAGTTTACGGTAAGCATTCTTCCATCTCGAAAGAAAGAAAAAAGCCCTAAACCCTGTAACTTAGGGATAAAGCCACAAGGCCAAGGGATGTTTGAAATTCCAAAAATGCCGGAGCAATAATTCTCAGCTCAACAGTTTTGTTCATTTTTTCTCGCTCCAAATCTAGATCTGTTCCCAATCAACTGGCATTGGAAGATGATTTCTGCGCGGTCCCTAATACGAGTAGTAAAAAACGGTTGTTCTGTGCATTGTACATGTATATTCATAAATGTAGAACCGGTCTTTTTAAACCCTAGCCTTGTCCCGTGTTAGTCAGAGGAAACTTGAGTCACAGTGAAAGTTTATAAAACATTGGCCGCGTGTGTAAAACAATGGCCGCACCCTACATCTGCTTGGAGATGATAGGTTAATTACTTCCACACAGGTAGTCTTCTGGGATGTCATTGGTTCTGTGTCATCTGCCGTACGTACGTATGCAAGCCCGAGGCAGGAGGACCAATTTTCCGAGCTAGGCGTGAACAATACAAGACCCTCCGACCTTTTGTTATACGTCACCTTTCTTCCATTTTGAATATCGACAGTCGAGTCAACACACCTTTACGACAACACCTGAGACAGTTCCCGTCGTTTTTTTTTTCTTTTGACGAGGATTTCTTTAAGGCGTTTGACCACAGTAGACGCCATGTCTATCAGGCTGCCAGACGGGACGCCTGTCGCGGTGAGCGGTACGGAGTCGTCGGGGGGTGGTGATGAAATGGCGGGAAGGGCCACACGTGTGGGACGGCACGGGCCCGGCGGCGGCGGCGGGGCAGGCACAGGCACGGACCGAGCGTCCAGGTACAACCGCCTGTCTTCCCTCATGAAGGGGAAACGAGAAGCATCGACGGCGGCACAAGCTCAAGCGCACGACCCAGGCTTCAGCCGTCCCTACACCGGTTATACAGCCACAAACACTAGTAGTTACCGACAAGGCTCGTTCATGGCGGGAGGGGCCCACCAGGGAGGGTATGCGGCCGGCTCTACTGGATTTTCCGCGGGTTATAGGTCGGCAGCTTCGGGCGGGGGTTTTGGAGGCTTCACAGGAGGAGCTGGAGGAAGGTCTCGTGCTGCCGAAGTCTTCCCGTCGGTGTTCGGAGGGACCGGCGCCGCGGGAGGGTCGTCCTACTCCCGCGCGGGGATGGGCGGAGGTTACGGTGGCGGCGGATCCGGACTTGGCGGTGGTCTCGGTGGCGGACACGCCGGGTTCGCGCCGTCCGGGTTCCACGGCGGTTTCCCTGGAGGAGGAGGAGGAGGACAAGGGTTCGGACAGAACGACTTCACGTCCACCACGGACGGTCTCTTCGACTCCCACCGTCCCCAGAACTTCGGATTCGGCGGCATGAAGATGGGGGATCCGCTGGACTTTGACGACCTCGACCCGCTAACCCCCGTCACCCCGGACATCCCCACGTCCTTCCCCGACCACCTTCGTCGTCAGCCCGCTGCCGAGACACACAGGGCGTCCTACTTCGACAGGTTTAAAACCAGCGAGTCTTCGGCCCCGAAAGAGTCGGTAACTCAGAACGGGGACGACCACCTCTTCATCAGTAAAGCCTACATCGAGCTGGAGAGGGGAGGGCGAAAAATCCAGAACCCGCTGGTCATACCAGACCCACCGGCTGAAGATGGTAAGTCAGTCCTTGCCAATATACTTAAGAAGAAGTTTCAACAACTGGATAGCTTTTAGTCAGGTAAAAAAGAAAACAGACGCTTTGTATTTTACATCACGAAAATCTACATTGGCAAACTTGCCAAAGAAGTTGCCAAAGCACTAGTATTAAGAGGATCGAGACAATCTGGCCTACGTAGACAGGTGATTAACAGGGTCAATGGGGGAAAATTACCAAAGGGATCATCAACAAGTGGCCATTTTGGCCGAGGTCACTCGTACAGGTTAGGCCATGTTGATTTGATTATATGGATGACATCCGCGCGCGCATGAATTTTCGTCCGTTTCCAAAAAAAAAGTTTTCATCCATAAATCTTACAAAATGAGCGAATATATGTCGTATGTTGCAAAAAAAAGTATTGGAAAACGATACTAATTAAATGTAATGTCATGGAATTCAGAAAAAGAAGAAAATATGAAGAAATGAAAATGAAGATTCTATATAATTATTTGCCATACCATGCTCTGTGTGTTTACTATAGTCATTTGTCCAACCACGTAGATTTTATAATTAAGGAACCTTTTTTTTTAGGGGGGGGGGCTTTTTTTATTCGCACTCTCGCGTCACTTTTGGGGTTCCCAAGGATGTCATCCATATAATCAAATCAACATGGCCTTAGACGGCAGTAAAGGTCCCAATTGGACGAGGAAAACCACTTAAATACAAGCCCTAAAATTCTACACTTGGTTTCTATCATGAAAGTTCTGTCATCTGTTCAACTTTATTCACGTCTTAACCTTAATAGATACCAAGTATGTTTAAAGTTAAAACTTTTGATCCAACACAATAAAGTTCTCTGACCTAGAGCTTTCGACCAGTCACTCTGGTCTTCTGAGTCTACTGAGGAAGACCAGAGTGACTGGTCGAAAGCTCTAGGTGAGAGAACTTTTATTGAGTTGGATCAAAAGTTTTAACTTTAAACATACTTGGTAACTATAAAGGTTAAGACGTTAATAAAGTGTGCTCGTTCACATTACTTGCAAAGATTCAAATCTGAACGATCACATGAAATTCCCAAAACAATCATGATACACGGCGTAGGAATCACTACATATACTTCACGCTACTAAAATACAAATTTGTCAACAAATAGAGGCTTCGCTATCGTCTGCTACAATAACAAAGGCAACCTTTGACAAACTATGGTAGTCAGGTTTCGCCTCGGGCATTACCGAAACAATCCGACATGGTTCGTTACGCAGGTTAACCCGACATGGCGGTTAGCTTTCAAAGTATGGTCTTTCTGTAATTAGGCTTTTTCAACTCTTAAAACAAATAGTACTTATCATAGTACGCAAGTATGCTGCTAGTCTATTAGGAAGGAAAAGATGGCTGTGATTTTTTTTCGTCACAGCGAATTATGGGACTAGAAAGAGAACATGTGTTTATTTGTTTGTTTGTTTGTTTGTTTGTTTATTCATTTGTAGACAAAAGCAAGACGATAGAATAACATTGTGCTTTTAAACATCGTGCAGGAGGAGGGGGACATATATATATATACTGATTAAGCATTAAACATTGTGTTCATGAGCAATATTCAACATGTAGTCATAGGCGACAATTCTCCGTGAAGTTTTATATTTTGCAGATTGGGAACAGTATAGTGTATGTAAACAGTGTGTGATCACTTAACAAGTGGTAACAACGTACCTTAAAAATGGCTAAAATAAAATCTCTGGTCAAATACATAAGATCGCGCTCGTGGCGGCCACACCCCTTCCTCATAAATGTAGGAGTGCATCTCCTTCACGGGGTAATAAAATCGACCAAAATAATGCATGTTATACATAGAAAATGGCAGTGAATATGAATAATCACTGAATAATATCAAGGCATTTTTTGGTAGGGCCAGCTTTGTGTGAGACGTAGTAGCATGGGTCTTTGTTCTTGTACATCCCGCCTTAGCTTCCAGACAGGTGTACATCCAGCGCCCATTATTAGCCCCCCCCCCCCTTCACAAAAAAAATAAGCACAGGCCTATCTTTCTGACAACCTATCTTTCCAGCCATCTTTCTGATTACTGCCGTTACAAAGAGAGCTAATTTTATGTTTATCAGAGCGTCTGTTTTATAAGATAACCATCAGTTGAACGCCAATTAGTTGTATAATTTCTGTCATTAAGATGTTTGTATTCGTGTCCTGGCACATACGATTGTGTAAGTACCATTGCCTGATTAGGCATATGGATCTATGATGTAGTACATATGACATTGTGTCACAACATATGAGTCTTTGCCTTAACCACATTCCTTCATTCACATCTTTAACGCTACTTTGTAACCAACTTATTGTATCTCTGTATCTGTATAGCCGGTATAACCGCCTTTCGGCGTAACACAACAGCTTCTCAGGCACGCGGCGCGGCGGCAGCTGGCTACATTACACCGATCGACTTGTTACACCTAACCCTTGAACATCTAACTCTAGACATTGTTTAAAGCTATCTAATGACAATGCCCCCACTGTACTTGGTGACAGCGAGTTCCACTCTGCGATAGTTCTAGGAAGGATGAATTCTTGAACACCTCAATCCTTGGTTGATAACTCTGGTACTTAAAGGCATGGCTATTTCTTGTTCTCTTCTGGGATGGTATTAGGTACTTAGTAGCTGTACTGGGAAGTGGATAATGATCGTTAATTTGCAATCCGTAAGTTGACTTGTCAGAATAATTACACTAGCAGCCGAACAATTAACCAACCAGTCTACAAGACTTGCCCAGGGGAGAGTTGTTTTGGTTTCATAGGACTGTATCAGAAGCAGGTAAATCTGAAGAACATAAATTTGTCTGTCGTGAGAGTCACTTTTAGTACATGTATTGCTTTGCTGGCAGATAAGGCCACATCAAGTAATTTTTATGGATGACATCAGCGCGCGCATTAATTTTGGAAAAAAAAACAAGAAATTTTCTGACAGTGGTCAACATGCCGAAAATGGGCAAAGATGTCTGTTGCCATGCCGGAAGGTGGATGGCAGATAACTATAAAGAGAGGAGACAAGAAAAGGCTCTGATTTAATGTCTTGTTCCTTACTTTGATGCAGTGATATGTGGTGCTGGCTGTGTATATGTAATGTTCCTACTGAATCAAAACCATTTGTACAATGATTGAGTAAAAAATTTAAATTGTAGGAACCTTGTTTTTTGGGGCCCGCCTTGTTTTTCCCCCGCTCGCATTAGATTTGGAGTCTGTGGAGAATGTCATCCATAAAATTTACTTGATGTAGCCTAACGGATTGAGGGCGGTACAGACAAAAGTCACTGGTGCAACAGGTGGCACAAGGGTGGCGTACCTGTGGTTTCCGCTAGATGTCGCTCCTTCACAGCATTCGAGGCCACGACAGCTCCTACTTTCGGGGATCATGACTAGCCTCCGTAGCAGGCTTATAGAACTGGTGGTTTGGTGGTCTTCGGCTGTTTTCTGATTAGCCCATTTAAAAAAAACGGCGGTAATTCAACCAGGCCGGCTATGTTGTCTATATGCAATCAGAAAATTGCACTTAAAAGCTCCCAAAGACCCTGAAGACCCCCAAACCCCCAGTTTTTGACATGCTATGGAGGCTACATCATGACATGTTTCTCCTCAAAACGTCACACGTGTGGCAAATTTGCTGACGACTTTTCAGCACTACATCAGATACTCAAACAAGGTCGAAGAGATCACCCTTTTAACAGAAACACCTCAGGTGTTACTAATCTCCATCTTCTTTTCACAGAAAAGACAAATTTGTGTTCCGCCTTTCTTCCGCACAAGGCAAATCCACCCAAAGAGCAAGCAACGGGAAAAACCCTTACAAATCCTTAGTCGTAACATTTACCCCTTTACCTGACTTTTATCAGAGGGCTTGGCTGGTTATTGGAGTGCAGATAGCCTCCATAGCATGCCAATAACTGGGGGGTTTGGGGGTGGGTCTTCATGATCTTTGGGAGCTTTTATGTGCTATTTTTTATTGCATATACTAGACAACATAGCCGGCCTGGTTGAATTACCCCCGTTTTTTTAGAACTGGGCTAATCAGAAAACAGCCGAAGACCACCAAACCGCCAGTCCTACAAGCCTGCTACGGAGGCTAGAGTACAGATTTGTCCGCCGAAGTTGCAAGTAATACTAGTAATTCTATGGTCGACTGATCAATCCTCTGATCAAAGTGCACTATCTCTGCAGCAGCCCATGGAGTCTGGAGGAGACTAGTTGTTGTCCAGAACGTTGGGTTTGTTCAGCTTTGTTCCGCCTGATTTCCAGGCTATCGTCGTGTTCGTAATGCCTCAAATCGGCACCTAGACTGGCGGTTTTAAGCCTCAGTCACACACAATGGACCATGGCCTACCGACCTTCTCAAGACCATGGTTGAAAGTTTGTTTTTTTTCTGAACAAGGTCGTCTGTGGTTGGAAGTTGGTCGGCAAGGATTCCTGCTTGTCTAAGTCGCCAGCGCCAGCCGACTATGAATTAGGCAAGTCCAACACGGAGTAGTCATAGCCTCCACCAGGCCTTTCTACGGGAATACGCGTACGGATTTCGGCACACAAAAGAAGAGTAAAATTGGCCAAGGGAGTCTAGCCGTGGGGCCAGTCAAACCTACAAGGCGGCCAAACTACCCTGGCAATTATTCTCCTATATATAGCCGGCGTAGTGAGTGCGGTTTAAATTCAGTATGTAGATAAACAACTATAGAACATTGGCTTAGAAAAATCTGGTTTCCGACCCCTAAAAACGACACTGGGTGCCTTTAAAACTCACGTCCATGCTCAGTCTGGCGTGAATGGCATTAAAGGTTGCTCCCACACATGATAAGCCTCATGTACAATGTGAAGTTGCACATGTCCGCCCCCTCAGTCCCCGGCCTTGTCCGCGACACGCCTGCACATACCTGCATGGAAACGTTACACCGCAGTTTTCACTCGGACAGAACACTGCAAATTAGCCGCGTCTTTGTTCTGACTGTGTGACGAAGTCTTTGTGT